CTTCTAGCTCTACTGCAGGGTATAGACTAGATTCTGGCTTTTTCTTTTTCTTAGATTTGTTAAGGGGTGAATGATAACTCCCTTCTTTCTCTCCCCCTTTCTTAACTTCCTGGGGAGGGCCTTTTTTCTTAGACATGTCTTTTCTTTTGCGAGCTCCCATTCTCTCACTCCGTTCAGTTTCTGACATGCTATCCTGAACTTCCTCTAAGGTTCCCTGACTTTCTATTATAGCAGGGTGACAGGCCTCATCCTCCAAGCAGTTTTTAACTAGCTTCCAAATGGCTTTGGTACCTAAGCAGAGATCTCCTTCTGCATGCTTCCTGTCTAGTTCTTTACCTAGCTTGTTCCATGAGGCCACAGTGAGGGACCCGGAACAAGCATACCATGGTGCCACTCTATCTACCTCCTTCACAAAATTTTGAAGTGTTCGTGGTGCAATTTTAAGATCTCTTTGTTTTAGCACAGTCTGTAAGGCTGTAACCACTGACTGTGACGACCCCATCGCGCTGACAGCTTATCTAAAAAACGCGCTCAACTCCGTTACCAGACTGACAGCACCAGACTGACAGCACCAGACTGACAGCACCAGACTGACAGCGCCAGATGGACAGCGCCAGATGGACAGCGCCAGACGGACAGCGCCAGACGGACAGCGCCAGACGGACAGCGCCGTTCTGTCAGCACCAGCCACGATGAAGGAGAAGGACAAACAGGACTAGCACCAAAGCCTCCACTGACCCGTCCCACGGTGATGACAAACTAAGGCCAAAGTCGAGAAAAGGGTTGTTCAGGATAAAGCATACCTCTCTGAACCTACGTCCCTGCAGTTCTGAATCCGCCCCGTCTTCCGAGGGGTCTCCCGCGGCGCCGGCGATGTTGAAGAGTTCCCGGGTTTCGGCACCAGATGTCCCGCGCTACCGTCTCGCCAGCAAGAACGACGCAGAACACTCGGATCCTTCTGCAGTAAAGCTTTAATGCATCTTGAGAGATAGATGATCAGCTTCTTAGAGGGAGACCCCAAGCTAAGAAACCCAGCCCCTTATATAAGCCTAGGAGCTCCGAGTGAGATGTGTAGAGCCGGGATTGGTGGTTTGCACATCACCCCAGATGACGTCACGGGAGAGGCACAGTTTAAACGGTTAACTCCAACTGACAGCGACAGTTAACTCCAACTGACAGCGACAGTTAACTCCAACTGACAGCGACAGTTAACTCCAACTGACAGCGACAGTTAACTCCAACTGACAGCGACAGTTAACTCCAACTGACAGCGACAGTTAACTCCAACTGACAGTGGATGTCAGCGCCATCTTCTAACGGCAATAGCGATAGCGAGGGCGGCTCCTCACAACCTCAGAAAAAAATGTACCCCCCCCCCAAGCAAGCACACACTCGTTACATATCAGGACAGTTAGAGTAGCTGAGTCTCGTAGGAAGCAGGGCTCACTCTGCAGCTTTGGGGGCAGACCGGTCACCTAGAGCCCTACACTCAAAATGACCAAGCATCTGTCCTTGTCAGACGAGATAATCCAAATCTGATTCCCAGGGCCCAGCCATTGCTCACACCGGTCACTCACCCCCCTCCTGTCCTGTTCCCCAACCACCGTGTAGTGCTGTCAGAGCTGATGGCGGGCTCCAGGACTTGCCATACCTGCCTGTCCCTCCTCGTCTTGCTCAGGCTTCTCTTCAAGCTGTGACTGCCCAGCCTGTAAGCAGGAGACAGTTAAAGACCCCCGAGGCAGTTCTAAGCCAGGAGGACTGTAGGTAGGGTACTGGAGAGACACTCACTTGTTCATGTATGGAGACAGGGACTTTTCCATAGCTCCCGCTGTCTTCCTGCCTCTGCCCCCAGAGTGTTGGGATTAGAGGTGCGTGCCAACACTCCCGGCTCTAACTATTTCATTTAAAAATGTTTTCTTGGGGCTGGAGAGATGGCTCAGAGGTGAAGAGCACTCACTGCCCTTCCAGAGGTCCTGAGTTCAATTCCCAGCAACCACATGGTGGCTCACAACCATCTACAATTCAATCTGGTGCCCTCTTCTGGCGTGTAGACAGAACACTGTATATGTAATAAATCTTAAAAAAATAAATAAAAATGTTTTCTTGATAAATCCCTTCCCCCATTCGAAAATACGCACTCACAGTACTCGACGCTCTTCACAAAGAGAACATTCCGGCATTCCCACCAAGGGAAAAGAAAGAGTCTCACTACAACGTTGAGCCGCGCACGCACGATTCTGCGTATGTTTGTGCGTGGGTTTCTGCTTGTCTTGTGTGTCTAGGTAACCCTAGTGTGGTGGTGGTGGGGAATGCATGTGGAAACCCTTCCGTGATAGGAAAGAGAGGTGTTGGGGGGCCCACCTCTCCGGAGTCAAGACCTGGAGCAATTGCTCTTCTGACCGTCATCCCTATCTGGAAGGCTGTAGCCTTTGCCACCGGTCATTGTTAGCAAGATCTTGAGTGGCTTTACTTTCGATTTCCGTTCTGCAGCAGTGTGTGACCCTGGGCCCCCTCAGTTTATATAAAGGAGGAGTGAAAAAGCAGAAGAAGTAAGACCCAGGGGTGAGCGCCAGGCCGGCGAGAACCGCGCTGGGGACCAGCAGGGAAGGGATCAGGTGAGTTTACTTTATAAGCAACTTAGTCTTTGACCTTGACTTAATCTGACTCAGTGGCCACAGAAGCAGTCAGGGCAGGTTGACTGTGGTCTGGTCTCCAGGAGTCTGCAGCTGGCTTTAATTCTAGGGGAGTTTCAGTTTGTTCCCTTTAGCTGCTAACATAGGCAAAGTTGCAGCCCGACACTCTGAGGTCTCCGGGTATGAGATGCTCTGATGTCCTCAGCTCAGCATAGCATCAAGTGCAGTGGGGAGAGCCCCGGGTGGGAGGCTGCCTCTTCTGCCAGGCCCTGCTATGGTTCCTGCCTCCAGAGAAACACCGTCCTTGCCAAGGAGCTGAGGGGCCATTGTAATCTAAAGAGAACAGCTTGGCCTGTCTCTAAATTACACCCTGCTCAGAGTAGGGTTGTAGAGATATCTACTCAGAAACAAATTTAGTCCATATGCCACTGAGTTTCAGTAGGCAAAGCACATAGTCAAAATTGTCTTTGATGATGTGTAGGACGTGATCACACACACAGACACACGTGCACGCATGCACATGTACACACAATGGCGTGTGCATTTTTTCACGTTCTTTATCTTGTTCTCACATATGGCAGTATTGCCACAGAGCAGCTGATCGTTTTCAAGGGACCTGGCCTGTATTTGAGTTCTCAGGATTCTGAACATTGTGCCTTGGCACAATGTCCCCGTAAAGGTCATCCGTGTTGTAGCGTGCAGTAGAATGCCAGCCATTTCTCTGAGTGAGTCATGTTTAACTGTGTGGGGCTATCCCATTATGATAAGTCATCTGTCTACCGGTGGAAAACTGAGTTATTTCCACATTTTGGGCATTGTGAACACAGCTGCCATGATCATTGGTGTTCAATGTCTGTCTGAGTCCTTGTTTGCAATTTTTCACGTACTGTGTATTAGCAAAAGTGGAATGGGATCCCACGTTATTATAGTCAGTGTTATAAAGAGAGCAATACTGTTTCGCACTGTGGTGTATCACTTCATTCCCCCAATAATAACACTGCAAAAGTCTACCTTTCCAGATCCTGGTTCACATTCACTTATCTTGGTTTTGTCCTAGGTGGCAGCCGTCCTAGTGGGGTTGAAGAGATGCCTGTGGTTTCCAGCAGCACTTCCTGAAAGCTGGGCCTGACAGACTATTGAGCAACAAAACCAACTGAGCCTTGAGATAACCTTATTTTTGCTTAAACTACAAAAAAAAGGTAACACAAATTCTGATTTCAAGCAAATACTTAGGTTTGACGGAAGCAAGAGGTAAGTAACCCGGAGTAGTCAATGCACGTGAGATTCCGTGAGGACAAACTCTGAAGCCAGCTCCCCTGACAGCCAAAGGGAGAAATTTTACACCTTCATCTGGAGCCCTCATTTTCCCAACAGATCCTTGTCTTTGACCCTTCCTCATTGGAAAGCAACACTTTATCTTTCAATCTCGTGTTCCCCGGTTGACAGACTGAATGAATCATTTTAAAATAAAATCTTCAAAGTTTTTAATGTGCCTCACACAATTTTCTTTTCACGGCAGTTGGCGACAACGAATACTAAGTTGTGTGTTTACAGCCATCTGCAGGCCTTCTTTGGAGGAATGTCTGGTCCACTCTTCAGCTGAGTGGTTCTATGATGAATTGAAGGAGCTCTTTGCTGAGACACTAACCCGTTAAAACATAGGCAATATTTAATATCCCTCACGCATTCTCGGGTTGTCTGGATAGAATCTTTCAATGCACAAGCATTTTTTTATAATTTCTAACTTGAGCTTTCAGTCTCGCATCCAAGAACGTGATGTCCTGAGTCCGAGTGAGGTAAAACAGGGTACCACAAACGTTAGCCGTGGGTTAGCCTATTGCAGTCAGAGTCTTCTGCGCTCCCCGCAGACCAGGCCTGTGCCAGGTTGGGGAGAAGCAGGGAAGGGAAGCAGAGAGAGTCTGTAATTTCCTACCGTTACGATTGTGGCTTTGTTTCGGTTGGCTATCTGTGTAGCTGCTAAGGTATTCGGGTTGCCTTTGGAAGCTCCCACGGTTCCATTTCCTCATTTTAAAAGTCCGTTCATGGAAAGACCAACGCTTAGAGCTAAAGGGTCTGCTTGCTTGTCATGGTTCCTGTGACTATGAACTGCTTATTTGGGATTTTAGAAACTCAACGGTCTCGTGCGGCTCTAAGAGTATTTAACTTGCAGACACTTTCCCATTTAGTGATGTCACACACTTAAGGCGTCCTTGGCATAGCCCAGCACGTGACAGGGCTTTAGTGAGGTTAACAATCATTTTGACTTTATTCTTACATCGAAGGGAAACTCTGCAGATCACAGCACTGAGGGTCCTCAACAAAGCTTCCTTAGAAATTTGAGTGGAGGAGAGAGAGTCCCCCGTAGACGGCAGATGTAAAGTTACATGCTGACGGTGTAGCCGCGTCTCCCCAGTCTTACGTTGCTGGGTGCTTGGGTCACGCTGAGACAGAGTAACTGTGGTTTCATTTGTGTTGGGAGATTCCCCTAGCTTGGCAAGTTGCTATGGCCAGTGGACCGCAAATGATGGCCCCTGTTTGTCTGGTGGAAAACGACAAGGAGCATCTGTCTGTGAACCAGAAAGCCGTAGAGATTCTAGACGAGATTTCTCAGCCAGTGGTAGTCGTGGCCATCGTGGGATTGTACCGCACAGGGAAGTCCTACCTGATGAACCGTCTGGCGGGACAGAATCACGGTGAGCGACGTTAAGAGCTCAATCCCGCCTCTCTCTGTTCCCATCCTAACAAAGAAAGCTTTCAGCACAGCCACCCTTTCATGCTGGATTTATCGCTAAATTATCATTCTACAGTATTTGTTCCTGCATCGCTTCCTTATGGTGAGGAAAATCTCTCCTGCCTGTGTTCAAGGGGGGGGGTGTCTTCTCTAATTCCCTGAACTCTGGGGTCCTGTGTGTCAGTCCCCGGCCTCATACAGCAGGTTTTCCTTCACCATTCCCTTGGGAACGCAGGAGTGTTTGGCAAGGTATGACCTTACAGATCTTTATTGGATATCACAAACTTTTATTTTTAAATCACGCTGGGTTGTCTTAGCTTCCGTCATTCATTCATTCATTCTCTTTGGTTTTCTTTAGGCACGGTCTCCCTAGGTAGCTTGTAATTTATTATGTAGACCAGGCTATCTCTGAACTCACATAGGTCCAAGTGTCTCTGCCTCCTGAGTTATGGAACTAAAGGCATGTGTTGCTTTGTCTTGTTAGCTATTTTGAAGGCATTAAGTATCAAGCCATTCCCCTTTCGACTCTCCCCTTGCAACTGACTCTAACACATCCAAAGACCTTTGTTTTCAAGAGATAGGATTTTGCTGTGTAGCCCTGGTTGGCCTAGCAATAGCCCTGGTGCTCAGGCTAGTGCTGGTCCAGTGGCCATCCTCCTTACCCAGCCTAAGTGCTGGGCTATGGTAAGGGACAACTGTGTTACAGTTACGAGAGCCCTCCACGTTGCCTGGTTCTTGGATGCCTCTTTGTTTCCACTTGGAACCCTGTGAGACATCATCCTTGTGTTAAATGTCCCCTATAGCCTGAAATCGATGGCTCATAATTAAGAGAGTCTTGAGAAAACAGAGAAATCACCATCTTAAATGGTAGGGATTTGCAGTCTAACCTGTTGGACTTTGCAACACGGCTGTTGGGAGGATCTTCTGCATTTCACGCAGTTGTGGCTGTAGTTCCAGAGAGAGCAACGTGAAGAGCAGGCATTTATCTTGGTTCGGTTTCAGGGACTCACTCTATTGTCCCTTGGTCCATTCGCTCTGGACTCATGCTAAGGGGGAAGCCGATGGCTGCAGGACGTCATAGAGGGCATGGTGGACATGAAGCAGGGAAGAGGAAGACCCTGGGCATCAATTGTAACCTTCGAAGTCAATGACCTAGTGACCTCCTTCCTCCAACTAGGCCCCCACTCCCAAAGGCTCAATAGTGCCACCACGTGGTCACCAAGTGCTCAGCACACAAGGCTGTGGGAGACATTCCACCATGTGCGAAACAGCACACTTGCCCTCTCCCTCAGGCTTCCCTCTGGGCTCCACCGTGCAGTCTGAAACCAAGGGCATCTGGATGTGCTGTGTGCCCCACCCCACCAAGCCAAAGCACACGCTGGTCCTCCTGGACACCGAGGGCCTGGGGGACGTGGAGAAGGTAAGGCTTGCTGCTCAGGTTGGTCTCTTTTAGGTTATGTGTTCCTATCTCTTTGCTGTTTGTAATCTGTTGTCATCTGTCTGTGACGTCTGCAGCCTGAAGTGTGATGACTGAGAGGAGGACCCTGGTCTGTTGTTAGATTTCACTCCTAGGAAAGATCAAACCTCATGTCAGCGGCTAAAACGTGCTTTTGTTTCAGGAAGCGAGAGTGAGTGATTTGATCCAATGTGTTACAGGCTAATGGAGCTGGTAAATTTTGTTGTTTTCAGCACAGTCTCCTGTGATCCTGTACTGGGAGCGGGGGTGGGGCAGAGACAGGGTATCCCTTGGGGTAAACTGGCCAGCCAGACTAGTCAAACCAGTGAGGCTCAGTGAGGGACCCTGCCTCAGGGAGAGGCCATCAAGGAAGACAGCCAGAGCTGACTTCATGCACACACACACACACACACACACATGCATGCACACACACTCAGGCACACACACGCACACACACATGCACGCACACAGGCGTGCACACACACACATGCGCGTGCACACACGCACGCACATGCACACGCAGATGCATGCATGCACGCATGCACACTCACGCTGTGCGCAAAAGAATAGCTTTTGTAAATGTAAGTACAGTGGGAACCAGTAGTCCTCTGGAAAAAAACGCCTTGGTTAAATTTCACTAGATATAATCAGACTCATGTGCTGCACTTACTGTGGTATGTAGTGTACCCATAGCACATGTATCTTATAGACTAAGAAAGGCCGACATCCTTCACTGAGCGCCCTACTGAGAACCTAACACAGTGTCAGGCTTTCATAAGTTGTCTCACGTCAGACCATCGAGGAAGCAAAGGCACTGTAAATACACAAGCCCTCTCATAAAATGAAGAGGTTCTCCTCAAGGCTGTCAGAGTTGTTATTGGCATTCGTGTCTCTTGTCTTTGGACAGGAAATACCTTAACTGAAATGGTGACCTGTAGACTCCCTCTGGCTCTCATCTCTTTCCGTCTTGCTCATCACCAGGAATTGAATGAGGGCCTTGCATATTGTGAGCATCCACACTACCACTGGCTTATGTCCCCAGACCCTTACCTGTGTGTGTGGGTGTGCACGTGTCTGTACTTAAACCGGTAAACCTTTTCTTGTAAATATGTAATGTCGATGGGTCTTACACTACATGTGCTCTGAATGAACTCCCGAGGAGAGCTCTCCTCAGCCCTGCACCCTCCCGTGTCTTCCAGGGTGACCCTAAGAATGACTCGTGGATCTTCGCCCTGGCCGTGCTTCTGAGCAGCACCTTGGTCTACAACAGCATGAGCACCATCAACCACCAGGCCCTGGAGCAGCTGCAGTATCCTTGCAGGACCTGAGCCCCAGGCTTCCCTGACTGCTATGCAGTGCATTTGGAGCCTCTGACCTGAGCTGCTACTGTGTGGCTTATTTTTCCTAAGAGAATCATGAGGACGTGTGCATGAATTCACTTTTCCTTAACTGAGTGCCAGTTATGTCACAGAACTCACTGAGCTGATCAGGGCAAAGTCTTCCCCAAGTCCTGATGGGATAAAGAATTCCACAGAGTTCGTGAGTTTCTTTCCAGACTTCGTCTGGACTGTTCGGGATTTCATGCTGGAGCTGAAGTTGGATGGAGACAGCATCACGGAGGATCAGTACCTGGAGAATGCCCTGAAGCTGATCCCAGGTACAGGGGGGCTGGAGTGGGGGCTGGGATCTGCTGAGCTGCTCTCATCCTCTGTGGGGTCCTTCTGTATTGCAGTGGGATTGAGGTCTGCAGAGAGGCTGACAGGTCATTGGCTGATAATGTCTGGGAACTGGGATTTAATTTCTTTTGAGAGAAGTAGAGCCTGAAACACAGCATTACAACCCAAGGTCTTTACAGTTTGTACTTTAGCATCTACAGTTTGTACTGCAGCATCTAAACTTCCCAAAGGTCAGACATTGGGTTGCCTGGTTTTGTTTCTTCTTTCCTCTCTGTAGGAAAAAACTGACCACATAATTGCAGTTCAAGAAATATAACACAAAGCCTTTCTCAAAGTGTGTTTCCCAGGGCTACGCCTTGTTCTTCTCACGCAGCAACATTGGTTTTTAACTCTGGATTGGTTATGTTGTCTGCAAAACAGCCATGTTCTAAGTACACTGACAGATGTTCTTTTCAGTCTGTGCCTTCTCAGTATCCATCGCCGTTTATCAGAGCAGTCTAATTTTGCATATGCCTCGGTGTCAGGCCCAGTTATACTAGCGGTCCCTAAACTACACGCATGGACGTTATTAGCCCGAGCGTGAAGCTGTGAAGCCTTGTGAGGAACGCCAGTTCCCCTCACTCTCCTTTTCCTCTCCTTGCTGTCTAGAACCCTGTACTGAGACAGCAGGAGGCAGAGAAGGGATCTGGCAGCCGCTGCAGCTGACTTCTCACGGGGTTTCTGAAGCCTTTGTGAGCACCTCCAATTCAGTCTGCAGCATGAATTCTGAACAGTATTATTAATAAAAACCCGGGAGTCGGATGTGGGGGCGGGGAGAGCCGAAAGACCAGAGAAGCAAAGGAGCTGGCCATGAGCTCTTGCTTCTACCTCAGACTGAGAGGGCGATCCTGTCTCCGCCAATCCTCAGACCAGCTCCTCTTTCCTCTTCTCTTACCTCACATTCCTGTCAGCCACATCACACCTGTCACCACCTCTGTAGTGCTGGAATTAAAGGAGCGCGGTCCCAGGTGCAGCGTGCGATCCCAGGTGCTGGGGTCCCAAGCGCGAGCTCTGTTTCTCTTTTAGACAGATTCAGTCTCGTGTAGCTCAGGGTGGCCTTGAACTCGCAGAGATCCATCAGCCTCTGTCTCCCGAGTGCTCCCGAGGGATTAAAGGTGTGTGCAACACCTCGCTGCCTGGCCTCTGTGGCTGTGGCTAGCTTTGCGCTCTGATCTCCAGGCAAGCTTTATTTGTTCGATCATAAACAAAACAGCACCACAGGTTGCAGGTTAGCCGTCAGGGCTTTTGATAAAAATCCGCACTGCGTAAAACTTCAAGAGTGAGTTTTATTGTGTGCGCTTGAAATTTACAAATTGGTGTCAGGGAACACGGGTGAGTACTGAGGCGGACACTGTAAGCGACATGGGTCATCACAGGCAGGTAAGTTCTATGATAGACAGCTGAAGTGGACAGCCTTACCGAGCACTGACTCAGTGTTGCACATTATATTTTCCAGTCCTCTGCATCCTGCACACAAGTGACTTTAGTGCCACCCGGCCAGAGTGGCCTCCTCCTTCCCAGTTCTAGGGACCACTGATTTATTCTGTTCTATACTTTACCTTAAAAACGAGTTCTGAGCCGGGCGGTGGTGGTGCACGCCTTTAATCCCAGCACTCGGGAGGCAGAGGCAGGAGGATCTCTGTGAGTTCGAGGCTGGGCTGATCCAACAGCCTCCAAAACAATACAGAGAAGCCCTGTCTCGTAAAAAAAAAAAAAAAAAAAAAGAACGAGTTCTGTTTCGAATCTAAGTAGTTTTCCTTTGGTGGCCCTGGCGTCTGGCTCTTAGAATTGCTACTGTTGCCATTTCTAATGCTCTATTGTTGTTGGTGGCTCCTCTTTTGGGCCCCACAGCTCTTTGACTCCACAGGAGTGATTGGGACAGAAGTCACATTTAGCCTTTTGCTGTTCAGTCACCTGGACACCCAACTACAGTATGCTTGACGCCATGGTCAGGTCTGTGGACTTCACCCACGAGCTCTTCCAGGGATCAAATGTCTCCTGACATGTCTCACCAGACTTCTGCCAAGTGCAAGCTTGCTATCCTTTGACATGCAAAGAATTGTTGCGTGTGTATGGTGCAGAGACCTGTGAGTGCAGAGCACTCACACAGACAAGAGCCCCTGACATTGCTCTCTGCTCTGAGACTCTTCCCCCTGCTCTCTGTTTCCCCAACACCAGGCAACAATCCCAGAATCCAAGCATCCAACTTGCCCAGGGAGTGCATCAGACATTTCTTTCCTAAACGGAAGTGCTTTGTGTTTGACCGGCCAACGAGTGACAAGAAACTCTTGCAAAAAATTGAGACTGTCTCAGAAGACCAACTAGATCCCAAGTTCCAGGAACAAACAAGGGCTTTTGTTTCTTACATCTTCACTGATGCAAAGATCAAGACCCTCAGAGAGGGGATTAAGGTCACTGGGAATCGTGAGTGTTTTTTTTTTTATCACACTATCCTGTATAGAGTAATGTATATTGAGTATATTACAACATGTATGTTATTTTTATAGGTTCTATACACAATGGTGGTAAGTATACATTCTCACTATGAAGAAATGTATTTTATAATTATTCATTGAGGACTCAGCACCTTCAAAACTGCAAACTTTGTATCCATCTATGGCTTCCACACATCTGAAGAAACTCAACTAATAATAAAATTGTTAGAGAAAAAAATTCTCAACCAATAATACATCATTTCTCAGATCACTAAAGCAGATATATACAATTTTCAAAGGAGAGGTTTTTATATTAATTTTTCTTTGCAATGAGAATGTGAAACGTCATTTTGAAGTTTAAAGTAGCACCAATATAAATAATATAAATATTACGGGGTTTATATTACAGGTTGTTGTGAGCCACTCAATGTGAGTGCTGGGAATTGAACTTGGGTTCTCTGCAAGAGCAGCATGTGCTCTTGCTGAGTTATCTTTCTAGCCAAGAGATATGGTATGTGTGTGTGTGTGTGTGTGTGACTTTCAAAGTACAGTTTTCAGGTATTGAATATCTTAGATATTAATTTATTTTCCCCAAACTCCTGGCTCATAAAGGACTGGGGACTCTGGTGACCACCTACGTGGAGGCCATCAACAGTGGAGCCGTGCCTTGTCTGGAAGACGCTGTGACAACTCTGGCCCAGCGTGAGAACTCAGCAGCTGTGCAGAAGGCCGCTGACCACTACGGTGAGCAGATGGCCCGGCGACTGAGGCTCCCCACAGACACGCTCCAGGAGCTGCTGGGTGAGCACACAGCCTGTGAGAAGGAGGCCATTGCTGTCTTCATGGAGCACTCCTTCAAGGACGAAGACCAGCAATTCCAGAGGAAGCTGCTGGTAATGCTTGTGTCATTAGCTCTCACGACTCTACCCCGTCAGGACTGTAGGCGGCTGAGCCTTCATTGACCGCAGGTGCAAACTCTCACAACTCTACCCCGTCAGGATTGTAGTGCGGCTGAGTCTTCATTGACCGCAGGTGCAAACTCTCATGACTCTACCCCATCAGGACTGTAGCACAGCTGAGCCTTCATTGACCACAGGTGCTTGTAGCATTCAGCCATGAGCATTCTCTGTGCTCATAGTGAATACAGTCACAAAAGTATAAACCCTTCCCAAACCTCAGGTACTTTTAATCCAGAAGTCTAATGGCTAGAAAACCAGTGTAGACTTGTTAATACTTTGGTGGATTCTGTCACCATGTCTGTGGATTTTAGTTCTGCCCAGAACACCCACAGCTCATCTCTGAACGGGTTACATCTTCTGAACAAATCCTTGCATTCTTAGGAAACAAAGTTTTCACACCAGAGACTCATTGTTGGCATTTCCTAGTACTCCTTGTTGTAGTGTTCATCATCAGAACAGAACCACGGGGTGTGACAGCTGCAGGGAATCGAGAGATTGCAGGACGCAGCCAGCCTTTAATGAAGAGTCAGTGGCCAGGACAGTCAAGCTGCCCGTTGCTTTGCACAGTTTTCGGGTTCCGAATTAAGTCAGATTGAGGGTTATTTATCGATTCTGTGTCTTCCTGAACTAGACTGCTTTCTCCCGAGAGTGGCGGGCCCTTTCACGAGTCTCTGGAATGGTGTCTCCTCTGCTTCTGCCATCCCATTTTATCTCTGTCCATGTCCCTTACAGGAGCTCATAGTGCTCAAGAGGGCAGACCTCCTGCTGAAGAATGAAGAGGCCTCAGAGAGATACTGCCGGGGAGAACTGAGTGGTCTCACGAAAGCACTCGTGGAAAGTGTTTCGGCTGGGGCATTCTCCGTTGCTGGAGGACACCGGCTCTACATGGACACCAGGGAGCAGATTGAGAGGGACTATTGGCGGGTGCCCAGGAAAGGGGTGAAGGTGAGGATCAGGGAGCACAGGACAGGGGTGAGGGTGAGGAGTAAGGAGCACGGAGACTCAGAGCAGAGGGAAAGGGGGTGTCATAAAACCTAAGCACACAGCTCTGCCTGAGAGAAATAGAAAACATGAAAATAGTATGGTACCTTTAGTTTTACGTCCATGCCAGGACCAAACCCAGGGCTTTGCAAAGTGCTCCACCAGTAGGCCGTCCCTGTAAACACATGTAGCTCTCCCCCCGCTTTGGTTTTTCGAGACAGGGTTTCTCTGTATTGTTTTGGAGGCTGTCCTGGAACTCGCTCTGTAGATCAGGCTGGCCTTGAACTCACAGAGATCTGCCTGCCTCTGCCTCCCGGGTGCGCCACCAACGCCCAACTAACACATGTAGCTCTTAATGGCTGCTACTAACTGCTTATGTCTGCAAACACTCACTTCTAAAGAAAGAGGGAGGACTTCTGAAACCCAGGAGAGGTGGAATAGCAAACTAATAACACCCTGGTGTCGGGGCGCTGACAATTTACAGGGCACACAATCTCAGTTCTTGAGAAGGAGCCGTGTGAGAGAGACCTAAGGAAGTTATTGCATTCTTAGGTATAACTTCATGGTTCTGTCATAATGGTCCACTTATGGGTGTCTAAGTCAGGGTTTCTATCTCTGTGAAGAGACACTGTGCCCACAGCAACTCTTTATAAAGAAAATATTTAATTGTGGTGCCAGCTTACAGTTTCAAAGGTTCAGTCCATTATCACCATGGCGGGAAGCATGGCGGTTGGGTGTATGATGGTGTGTGGGCAGACGTGGTACTGGAGAATTCTACACCGTGCAGTCAATAGGAAGTGGACTGAACACTGGGGCGTTATATTGAACATATATGCGACCTCAAAACCCGCCTCCACAGTGACACACTTCTTCCAACAAGGCCACACCTCCTAATGGTGACATTCCCTTTGGGGGTCATTTTCCTTTAAACCACCCCATTGGAGTGCCAGTAAATGTAACGACACAGCTGACATATTACTTCATTGTTGCCAATGACACCGTGGTGAGCTCTTTCCTCAGACGTTTCTCTAGTTATCTTAAACGCGCTGGGTGATGCCCAACACTATAGTGGACAGTTTACACACCTGTTCCCGATGCCCAGGCGGGTGAAGTGACTCACCCACGAACACATCCAGCAAGAGCAGAGGGGAGTGAAGCCCACATAGGGATGGCCCACTTTACACGGGGACGCAGTATCTGAGAGCATCACAGGGTGCAGTGAGCACAGCTGCCCGTGACGTGGACAGGCTGCATCTGGGAGAGTCTGAGGCTGGTGGCACTAGCGGGATGAACGGAGGAACCCTGGACCAGGAACTATGCCGTCCCACTGAGGAGCATGGGCATCTGCAGGCTGCACCATAGCGTTTTTACAGCGCCGACAGTGAAGACTGCGTAGACTCACACAGCTACTCTCCCAGGACTTATCAGGGTTCTTCGCTCTTTGGTCCTACAGGCAAGGGAAGTCTTCCAGAGTTTTCTGCAGTCACAGGCCACCATCGAGAGTTCCATCCTGCAGGCAGACACAGCCCTCACCGCTGGGGAGAAGGCCATTGCAGGTACAGGAGCATGTCTCTTGGCTTTCAGGAGGGGTCAGATTCCTGCCATGGCTTCCTGATAGACGCCCTCCATCCTTCTGTGCATGCTCACTCTGAGAGCAGCAGGGAGTCCTTCTTTGTTTCAGTCAGATGGGCAGGGTCTCCTCCATCACCCCCAGAAGCTCTCTCTCCATGGTGCGGGCCAGTGTGGAGTCTGGGGTTTCCTTCCAGATCTGAATTGCTCTCTGGGTTCTGGAATGTAGACATTTTACTTGACCCATCATCTCTTTCTTCCCCTCATCCACCCGGAATCCCCCATCCCTGCTTCCCTCCCTGATCTTCCTGGGGCAGAGGAGCGGGCCCAGAAGGAGGCGGCTGAGAAGGAGCAGGAGCTGCTGAGACAGAAGCAGAAGGAGCAGCAGCAGCTGATGGAGGCTCAGGAGAGAAGTCACAAGGAAAACCTGGAGCAGCTGCGAACGAAGCTGGAGCAGGAGAGAGAGCAGCTCATGAGAGACCAGAAAACGATGCTGCAGAAGCAGCTGCAGGTGGGAATCCCCGTCCCCCTGGGGGTCCTCATACCCTGGGAGAAGCAGCTGCAGGTGAGGCTCACTGTCCCCCTGCTGCCTGGGATCTTGGGTCCCAAGACACAAGGGGAGAAGGTTACAGCTGGGTCATGGGAGGAAACATCATTGCTACGAATTATTGTTTGGATCCATGAAAGACCCCAATCTCTGTTCTCCCATGGCATCTTTGATTTTTGCTCCACATTTAGATTCTGAGAAATGTAGGTCTTCATGGCTGCTGGACACCGCAGAGTGTTGATAACATGTGAGCTTTTGATGTGAGAGGTTCTAAGATGGCTCCATGAGGATTCACCAAACATACTTTAAGCAGGTACAGGCAGTAAGAGTAGCAATCGGTTTGCCTTCAGACCAAGGTTATCCGGGGCCCAAAAACTCTCAGGATGTTCTATGCTGACATAAGATGTCCAAATTCCCCAAGAAGAGTGTGGGAAGCAACAGCTTCTGAGCTTGGCTGCTGGCGTCTCTGGGGTAGACAGCCTCCGGGAGTTGGCAGCACAGGGAAGCTGAATGGTTCTCTTGCTGTCCATCCACAAGTCACAGGATACAGTCCTTAACCAGCTGGTGGGGCTGCCATCACGCTGCCTTGCTAGCCCAGAGATCTGAGAGTTACCTAGGTGAGCATGGCAGCAAACCAGCACCGGTGGCCTAGTGTTTGTCATTCAACCTATGCTACCTCCAGCACAGGCGGTGTTGTTTGTGCTAAGTCACTTAGGTAACTAAGAAATCATTTCTCCGAGTAAACTAAAGATAGTCTGGCAAAGATCTTAAACAAATTATACCTTTGGGATTTAAAATTTTTTTATTCCTGTCCACACTTTGATCTTCTTTTTTTTTAGGCCCAAAAGGCATTGCTTGCTGAAGGATATAAGAAGAAATCTGAGGAGATGAATGCAGAAATAAATAATCTGAAAAATAAGATCGAGACTATAAAAAAAGAGAACACCTCATTTCTGGAGCAAACCCTGAATGCCTTTGCCACAGTTCTCTGCGCTCCTATCGTTCTGGCTGTGGAGGTCGTAAAAGGCATTGCCACGTTGTTTTAAGACTCACTGCTCTTAGGAAACGAGACCGTGAATACATGCTCTGTCCATTTTTAAGATGCCCAGAGACTGTGAATCTGTGTCCTGTTTTTTAAGGTGCACGCTCATTTTCACTCAGCAAAGTTTTAAACATGAAAAAGTGCTTGCTCAGTCTGCAACATCAGTGCCTGGCCCACGTTCTTCTGAAAAAATTCACGTATGTCTTGATAGGTGATGTTTGCAATATCATGCGGGAGAGATCCTCTGAGTTATCACTTGTTGCTGTGAAAAATGGAAGATGACAGTATGAACTTTGATTTGTGCTTAATTTGTGCAATAAACTTTTAATATTGGCAGTGTAATCTTTAACATGCGCCCACTGCCTTGTCAGGGAGCACAGTCTCGGTGGGGATTCTTGTGTTCTAACATCAAGTTGAACCCAGAGATACACTTTATCAAGTGAAAAATGTCAAAACCCCATGCAACGATTCCATGTGAACACACAAACGCAAGATGGAATGGATTCTGAAAGATCCACCAGAATCTGGGCTCTGGCTTCATCTGGAGAGACCAAGATGCAATAGGGGGTTGCAGTGACCAATGTATTCATTAAGCACTCAATTCGATCGTTTATATTTCATGAACAACACTTGAAATAAATACTATTACAGCTTGATATTGATACTGATAATTATGGTCATGTTTGCAATGACATATTAGAATTTCTCACTGTTCTAAAAACAGGAGCCTGCTACATGTGGTGACCAGTTCTAAGTTTTGAGTTCTAGCAAGAAGGACATTTACACCCTAATGTTGCTTTACATCATAATGGCCTTTGAAAACAAATCCCTCTATGTGTTTCAAAACAGAGGGCTCAACTTTGTGGGGAGTTTTGAAACCTCAGTGAGGGGAACCTCTTCTTTTTGTCTTCAAATTCCCCATGAAGGTGTTAGAGGCACAGTTTCTGCAGGTCAAGGACCAAGGATGTGCACTGTGTAAAGGCGCCTGACGTTGTTGTGATTTGGATGGTGATTTCTCCGTGGTGCCCGGGAGACAGGGACTCATGTCTTTCAGAAGTAGCTACTTTGATGGGGGAACAAGACAGCAGTCACAGGAGCACCAAGCAAAGTGCTTGACCAAATACATTGGCTGATGTACCCCTCCCCAACTTAACATGCAAAATTAAATAACAGGCTTTGTGAACATTTGGGTTTTCCCAAGGTGCAAAAAAAAAAAAAAAAAACCAAAAAACAAAAACATTTGTTTGGGGGACTGTCGGATTGTGCCAGAGCCACAGGGTGATTACTCTTTTCTCTGTGTAAACCTCTTATGACAGAAGGTGCCCAGGAAGATCGAAAACCCCAGGATAACGGATTTCTTCTAATATGGAGCCCATGCGCTCTTGAGAAGGAGGCAACGGCAGAGTCTGAGATACCTGCCTTCACAGCCTGCAGGGGGCGATGTCCAATGAAGCAGCCATGGAAAACGCTTCTTCACCCCTTTGACCAATTTTCTGAGTGGCCATGAACCAATTTGTTGCACCCCCATCACATGCAGACACAGCGTCGTACGAAGCTTATGAAAGCGTACTTTCAAGCAGACTCAGTCATTTAATAAACATGCACTTCCTTTCCTTTGACACGTGCCTCCGTGGAGGCTGCTTGGAAGGTGCCGATGATCACGTGGCTGCGCCATGGTTACAGTTCCTGTGCTCAGAGGCATAAAACAGATCACAGTAGCAAATGTATAGTGAAATTCCTTGAGAGTATTCTGAAAGAGTACAGGGTCTAGCAGCAGGGTAGGAAGGCAGCTAGAAGTGGCCCGGTCAGTGGGCATTCGCTGGGGAAGGGATAATCCAGACCCATTTTTACTAAACACACAGCTACGCAGGAAATGCAGGAAGGGGGTTTGATGTTTTTGCTGTCGAACGCTCCAGTGTTGAAGCTGCCATGAAGTGAGACCACAGGATGGGCTTGCAGGAGCCAGGCTCGCTCCCAGGAGCCAGGCTGAGCAGGATCTTGCAGGTATGATAAGGATTTTACCCTAACCTCAACGGGAAACAGAATTTTTGTGCAATGAAAGCGGTTCGGATTAACTTGTTGTCTGTAGCTCTGACTGCACACAGAATGGATTAGAAATTTTTACTGCCTGGCCCATCTGTCCTCTGGATGTCTGTTTTGTGAGTCTGAAGTTGCGCCCACCGGAAGGCTGTCTTGGGTATCTATCTGTTTGACCCCGTGTCTGTCCCTGTGTGTCTGTCTGTCCCTGTGTCTGTTGTATGAGCGCTATGCGTCTGTGTGTTGTGTGCATGTATCCTTAACAAAGGCTTCCCTCTGCCTTTATCGAACAGCGCTGAAAACATCACCTGGGGGAAGGAATGGGACACTTGGAAGAGAACTTGAGCAGCTTTACAAGGGATTAAGTCACTGTGTTCGAAGGATCCAGATAACAAACATCATTGCTAATCAGCCACATCCATGAACGGTTGTTTCGACCTTTGCGGTAGAAGCTGTTTTCTACTTTTATATTTGCTGCTTTCAGCAAATACAAGATTGCAGTCCTGCATTAGCTTAGGTTGTGCCTGTTGACTACATGGGAAATCCAAGGATATTATGTTCGGTTGGTACATTGTTCTCCTTAAAGACAGTATATAGAGTTGTTTTACTTCAGCCCGACGCCAGCCGGAGTAATCAGAGGAGGGAGCCTCAAATGTGAAAATGTCTCCATAAGATCGGGCTGTAGACACGTCTGTAGGGCATTTTCTTAATTAGTGATTGATGGGGGAGGGCCCAGCCCATGGTGGGTGGAGCCATCCCTGGGCTGGTGGTCCTGGGTTCTTTAAGAAAGCAGGCTGAGTAAGCCATGGGGAGCAAGTCAGTGAGCAGCCCCCCTCCATGGCCTGTGCATCAGCTCCTGAATCCAGGATCCTGCCCTGTGTGAGTTCCTGTCCTGACTTCCCTCAATGATGAACAGTGATAAGGAAGTGTAAGCCAAACAAACCCTTCCCTCCCCAAGTTGCTTTCGTCATGGTGTCTCATCACAGAAAATAATAACCACTGAAGTAGAAATATTAAACTACACAAATGTAGGGATGTCCTACGATATTTATTGAAAGAGGAAACACTTACGTGAAAAGCCAAGAAAGCTGAGAACCAAAGGTTCGCACACTGCTCTCCAGGTCGAAACTGAAACTCAAAGTGAGAAAGAGTACCCTTCCCCTAGCTCTATTTACCCGTAAGGTCTACATATCCGTGAACACATCCACACGTGAGTGGTCAGCACTTATGGATACGTAAAATCACTCCCTACAATTCCCCTTTTAGTCTAAAGAAAAGATTTAGACTTAAGACAAAACTAAGTTGTATCAATATACAAAATGTCTCAAACATATATAAAGCATATATACATAGAAGGTGATAAATTACAATCTACCTATATCCTATCCTAAGCATATCTATCCCATCTAAACCCTAACTTATCTGAAAGAGATGCCCAAGTCTGAATACCTCCTTCCGATACCAACCCTGAATAATTGAAAACTAACACTAACAGGTGTAAACTATCATGCAATGTCAACAGTAGGGAACGGGGCCGTAGTAATCTCAAAATTTCTTCCTGCTGAAATGGGACGACGACCTCATGGGATCCTGTAGGAAAAGAAATGTCAGTGTAATGAAGGTCTCATTTGCATTCAGTCTCTGTATATCTAGAAAAACTAACTAACCTAACTGGAAGTTTTAACTGTTACGTCTGAGAAGAAGATGGGCATCGAAGAAACTCGTTGTGGAGTTTGCTTTCAACATGGCAAGATTAGCCATGTGGGCAAGAAACTGCTCTTGCTTGGACTGTTTGACTTGCTGTATAAACTGGACATGCAGGACCCACAGGAAAGTGACTACTGAACTCAGTCTTACAGGGTTCCTGCTTCATGGAAGAGTCTGCCAGACTTTCTGCAGGACACAGAAAAATGACTGACAGACTGGCAGATGGAAAGTTTGAAACTTCCTGCTTTGCTGAGAAGTCTTCCAGGCACACTGTGGCCTATGGGCTGAAGATGGATGCCCTAATGTTACAGAGGAACTTCGGGTGACTATCCAGGTAGTGAGATGTCTCTGTCAATTCTATGTATTATCCTTCTGTGGTCTTTGATGGAGTTGAAGACAGAGTAGTTATAATCATAGTTTTCCTTAGTTATGATAAAAGATAAATTACATATAAGACTTTAGACTTACACAGATAAGATAGATAATGAATACTTTCTTTAAATCTTACTAAATGTTAATGGAGAAAATATTGTAACTATAGTTCTTACTTGATAACTGTTCTGTTATATATAATTTGACTATGTTAAAGTTAAAACCTTGCCTTTTATTTAGACAGAAAAGAGGAGATGATGGGGGAAGTGTTTCTATGTATATGTCAATAAAGCACTGTTGGACAATAGGGAACAAGATAGGTAGAACTAGGAGTCTAGGAGGATTTTGGGAAATGTAGTGAAGAGAGTCATCACCATGTGATCTTCCTGGGAAGAGGACGCAAGATTCCGTTGCCGATAAGTTAAGACCTTATAAAAATATATATTAGTAATTATGGGTAAATATTTAAGTCAGAGCTAGCCGATTGGAAACCATGGCAAATGGCCAACAGCTTCATAATTAATGCAGTGTCTTGTGTGTTATTTGGGGGCTAAAGCGGCAAAGGAACCCAGGCAGGAATCCCGCAACAAACCCCAATGGATACAGGCAGGTTAAACAGGCTGAGCCCACAGAAGGATTCAGTCTCATGTGACATCGAGGTGTATTGCTAACTATGGCTCTGAGGTCCTGCCAAATTTCCAGCCTCTGAGGGAGTCAGAGAGACTTTCAGAATGTTGCATCATCGTAGAGGATGACAGCAGTAAGAATGGTGATGACACGATTGTGTCGAAATAAATTCCTGATGATGGAAACAAACAGCAACTAATGCTGGCTAAGGGACACAGAAAAGGGGGGGATACTTGTAGACTGATAGTAAATTAATACAATTGATTAATTATAGGAATCAGGATGGGAGTTCCCGAAAAATGAAAAAAAAAACAGGACTATCATGGATCCAGCTATTCTACTCTTTGTTACAATCCCCAAGGTTTCTAAATTATGACCCCACAGGGATACCTTACACCAGAAGCCAGTGTGCAGAATCAGCCAATGTATCCATCAAAAGATTAAAGTCCCCTCCACCACTCTATCCAGAGCTGCCATCTCCTACTCCAGGGTCCAGCCTGTCCAGGACCTAAGGTCACGAAATGGTGACACCCACATTCAGAATCAGTCTTTTCATCTCCACTAACCCAACCCTATTTCTAACCCTGTCATGTGACACTCCTGCTTTTGATTTTCCAATCTGATTTCCATGGTAATTATTAATTTACTGTCAGTCTACAAGTATTTCTCTCTCTCTTCCTGTCCATTGGTCAGTACTACATGTTCTTTTTATGTTTTTCTTAATAACAGCCATCTGACTGGAATTGTGATGGAGGATGTCCTCTGTATGCTGTGACTGTATGTTTCTCTTATTGGTTGATGAATAAAGCTGTTTTGGCCAATGGACAGACAGAATTTAGCTAGGTGGGAATTCGGAACAAAGATGAAGAGGGAAGGAAGACAGAGAACAGATGCCATGTAGCCGCCAGGAAGT